GACGAGGTTGTTCCTGTGCGTAAGTTGGAAAAATAAATATATTGATCAAATGCTGAAAATTTCCTTTATTAAAAATATTTTAATTTTTTTCTAGGAAGAGCCCGAATCGAACCGCCGAATAATGCGCCCCCTTCACGCAATGGACAAAGCATCGCTCTCATCGAAATAGGTAAGATGATTTAAAAAATATTCTACTGTAAAATATAGTTCATATAATATTACCGCAATAAGAAGACAATTAAAAACATTTCTATTTTAGATGATGATGATGATGATGTTGATGACGAGGATAATGGAGATTCGCAGCGATCAAGGAACTCGTCAATTACCATTATTTCAATGTCGCGTAAGTTCAAAAAATCGGTTAACGAAACATAGAGTTAGTTCTGCAAACAAAAAAAAAGAAAAATAACAGTAAAAATTACTTTTTAGCACGCGAAAATGAAGAAGAGGAAGAAGAGGAGGAGGAAGACGAAGAAGAAGAAGAAGAAGAAGAAGAAGAAGAAACTGACATTTACGACTACGAGGACGACGAAGACGCCGATGATATCATCGACGAGGCGAACAAAGATGTTACTAATGATACCGGCGACGAGGAAATCGATGATATGGCTGCCGAAATTTCGGAGACACAGGACGTGACGCAGGAAGTCGGAGAAGAGGAGGGCGACAATTACGTCGAAAGTAATAATATTTTATTGTTTACTTTTATCCCGTTGTTTCGAGAAATTTTTCTTAAACGTATATTTTCTCTATTAAAAGTTTCCTACTCACCGGTTTTACCGCAGTCGCCGGAATATTAGTGAGACTTCTCGAGCGAAAAAATATCCTCGGCTCACGATCATATGAAGCAGCTAAAGGTGAGTTACCTTACTTTTCTATTACATTATGACACGTGGGGAGGGGGATAAGCTTTAGACATAATATAACAAAGTCAACGAAATTTAAATAAAGATTTTGTTTAACTTTTCAGTACAAATTGGTGGTGGTGCTGTCCAGCCCTCAGACGCT